GATTTGGGCATATGGATTTCTTTGTCTTAAATCACGTGGGCAGGGATGAGGATGATGAGAGTATTTGGGTATATGGATTTATCCTTTCATCTGATGAATTCTCCCAGTGTTTTTGCTTTCCTCTTTCATCTGGGTTTGCAGTATGTGCCTGGTAGTCCATTCTCTATGCCCAGCTGGCTGCCTGCCTGAGGCTTTGCGGCTGTGGCCTCTCTGGAGATGCTGTGCTCTGCTGAATGCTGTCTTCAGCTCAGAATGCAGAAGGCTGCCCAGCAGGTTTTGTTTCCACTGTGGGGACCACTGAGAGTGTTGAGTTTCTGTGAAAACAGGTAGGAGAGAAGGTTCCTGTAAGGTGGACAGTGTAATTTCTGTTTCTGGGCATTTTGAGTTGAATCTCTGGTTCAATTTTCCTACTCTTCCCTGATCATCTTAGAGAGATCTAGGTGCCATCTTTGACTGCTCTTCATGTTAGCAGCGGTTTTATTGTGTTTCCAGGACTGGCATATTCTTCTCGTCTGTAACTAGCCCTTGCAGCTATTCCAAAGGAGCAGGAAATCAGCCAGTTTCAAATGTGAAAGCACTTTGTTTCTGAAGGCAGTGAGAAGGTCCAGTGGATGCTAGCAGCCTCTGGCGGGGTGTGCTAACTGGGTGTGCAGTTGTACGGCAAGGGCAGGGCTGCTTTTCAGGGACTGTTGGAGTCAGAGACTTGCTGGAAAGGGCTCCCAGTCCCTTCCTTTCAGCATCTTTGGCCCTGTCCATAGCAGGACGTATTCTCAGGCAATCCCACAGACCTATGTGCACATCCTTGCAGTGAAAGGATTCCATCTCCTCTGGAGCTCCTCAGCAAGAAGCCAGCTGAGCCCTTCCTCACGCTGGATGCTGCATAAGCAATAAAAGAGTTGCAGCCCCTGCCCTGGCTGCCTCCCCCAGAACACCTGCAGACAGAAGAGACAAGTGGGCAGATAAAGAGGGCAGTGCAGCAGGATGCACGTGTGCCTTTTGCCAGCCTGGAACAGTGTGGTGACTTGCCTCTCTTTGTGTCCCAGAAAACACTGAGATCAGCACAAGTCCCTGAACATATTTGCACATGAGAATCATCTACTTGCAGCATTCAGCAGTTTGTACAGAGTGGGCTTCTGACAAATATGGCCACTTTTCACAGAAGGAGGCGATGTTGACATCATCCCTTCCTTTATCACTGATGTGCAGAAGGACTTGGAGCTCCTCCCTGGGTGGGAGCAAGGGTGTGGCTCTGCTGGAAAAGATTAGAGCAAGACTTCAAGACTTTGACCGCAGCCTGAAAACAGAGCAGGATTACTGAACCTCTGACTGCAGCCCTTGAAATCCACCCTGAGCCTCTATTTTGGCAGAACTTCCCCTTTGCTTACTGCCTTAGCACAGCTACAGTGCAATTGGCTGGGCCAAATCCAGGATTCTCATGATGAGGTGAAGGGGCTTAGGACATTCAGCCAGTGGCAATGATGCTTCGTGGGGTCAGGCTCTGAGATTCGGAAGTCACCTGTGAATAGGAACTAGTCAGGGCTAGGAGAGGGAAAGGGAAAAATTTAGATTGTCAGCAGACAAGGGGAGCTTTTTGCTGAAAGAAAAGAAAGGGAAGGAAACTACAAGCACAGTCTCATATGCTGTGCTGTGTTGTTTTTTACTTTAGAAGGTGTTGGAGCACTTTGCAAAGTCCAGATCTGAGGCTGCACCCTCAGGAAATGACGGGCAGCAGCCTCCTGACACTCCACAGCTTGAACGTCCACAAGTCTGTGGAGCACAGCACCCGTGCGTAGGATTTAGCAGCCATGTAAGAGTGCCACACTATGGCAAGTGAGGCAGGTTTTTTTCTCTGTTGAAATAGTTACTGGAGAATTGCTAGGAAGCCAAAGGCGAATGGAAAGAAAGGCTACAAACTCCAAAGAAAAAAAAAACAGAAAAAAATAAAAGACCAACCCCAGCCAAACAGTTGTTTTATATCCTGGGACACATGGATAGCAAGTGACTGCATGTGCGTGTGTGTGCAAATACTGGTGGGTGCATGTAGCACGCTCAAGCTGCGCTTTGTGCGTGTTTGTGGATGGTGACTGTGCAGTGTGAGCGTGTCCCTAGATACGTTGGTGTTGTGCTGTCTGGGATACGTGTGTGTCTCTCACTGCTCCCTCTTGCTGAAATTCAGATGGCAGTGACCCAGTCCATGCTTCAGTTCCCTGGCTAATCTTGATCTTTGTGATACTTCAGAGTAAAGCAAGCTGTTGTGAGTGAATGCCCCTGAGTGATAGGTAGGCAGTCCCAACATGCACACTGACGTTAGAAGGGCAGTATGTCTGCAGATCTGTTCCCTCTGCTTTTACCATTAGAGCTATCCCTTCTGCTCTGCATGTGTTGTCCGACTGCTGGTGCCTGATGTCCCACATCTCTCTGTGCATGCCGAGCATGGGGAGCAGAAGGACAGTACCTCTGGAGCACTCCGAGGCCCTGACAGCATCCAGAGGGTCGGGAGGGAACCGCAACTCCTCTCCTCTGTGGCAGGTGTTACCTGTGAAGTGCCAGGCTCCTGGGCATGTCGGCAGAGCTGCTCTCTCTCTGCTGTTTCCGAGGTGGTACCTGCAGCTCTGACCTGCTCCCTGCATTTGGCAGCAGTCATCTGCTTTCCGGAGGCAGCTTGGTATTAAATATCCTGTCTGACACAATAATGGAGAGAAAATGAACAAATTCCATTAGTGGCTGGCGATCCCTGCAGGGTCTGCGTTGGAGCAAGAAGGTAGCCTGTATTTTTAGATAGAATGCAATGTAACTTACTGGCTCTCTCAAAGCTGGGGAGTAGATAACCAAGGAGGGAGAGGGGACACCAGGCTCAGGTTTCAGCTGAAGTGTCGGACTATGGCAGCACGAAAGGGCAGGTCCGGTCCAGACGTGGCTGTGAGTATACCATGCACTTCTCCTTTGTGCCCACAGAGACCTCCGCTTTGCTTTTCTGCCTGCTTTCTGCCTGTAGTCCCTGCTGCTGGGTGTGCTGGGGCTTCAGGAGCCCCTTTGCTGCTGGAGCCCATAGAGTTTTATCATTTTAATCTTTGCAGTTCCATGTGTGTCCCATGGGTGGGAGAGCCTGGCTGAGCTGTGCTTTGCCTTTCCAAGGGGTTTGCTGTCAAAGGTCTGTGCTGTAGCGGGCATGCCAGCAGCACAGCTGAGCTGCTGCCTGTCATTGATCTTGACCTGAGATGCAGAGGCTTCTAGCAAGATCTGGAGTTGGAAGAGCTCTTTGCATTCAACTTGTTGCTTGAAGCTGTTAGTGTTTCCTTGCTAAACCCCAGAGAGCACACAGGGCTCAGAGCGCAGACGTGCCCTTTTGAGCACAGTGACGGTGCTGCCTTTTGCCTCTTACAGCAGATCATCCGGTACAAGCAGAGCACTGCGGTGCCACGTCGTGTCTCCTCCGTGCTCACAGTCCTCCATAAAGCCGGCAGCTCTGCTGTGAACCTGGGGGCTCTTCCCAGATGGACAGGGCTCTCCTCTGAGGTGGCAGCGAGCAGAGCCAGCTGGCTCAGGAGGTCCTGCGATCAGCACGTGTTCCTCCTGCACATGGAAGCTGCACAGCGAGACTGGGCACAGTGGTGCTGCCCCCCGCCACCTGTCCCCCTGCCCCTGTGAGCTGCCCCAGAAGGGGTCATGGCACCCAGCCACTGCTGCGAGAGCCCAGGCTAAGCTCTGCAGGGTCTGCCTGGCGCAGGGGGAGCCGGGACACCCGGTCCTGCAGGGGCAGCAGGGCGATGGGCCCAGGACATGGCTACATTTATCTGGGGCAGGAGGGCCGGGCAAAAAGGATGGACTGGGGGAGGCAGGTGAAGAAGAGGGGGAGGCAGGTGAAGAAGAGGGGGAGGCAGATGAAGAAGAGGGGAAAGCAGACCAGTTGTGCTGCTCCAAAGTGCAAGTTCAAATGGCTGAGGCTGCAAAGAGACGGGAAGAGAGGAGCCCCAGACCTGTGTGGTGCATCGTCCTGCCTAGGTCTGCCTCCAGTGCTGTCCTCTCTGGCTGTGCTGCTTCCAGCTCCTGTCTAGAAGCTTCCTAATCGTGGGTGCTCCTCTGCAGCATGGCCTGGGATGTCAGGATGTAGGCTCTCATAGCACAGAGGTCCCCTGGTTTGTCCCAGCTTGAGTGGTACAAGAGAGGCTTTGATTTTCTATTGGAGCTGAAGACAGAGGAGTGTGTCCTACACCCTCGTCATGTGTGTCTCACAGCTCTTTGCTGCAGAGAGCCCTTTGGGCTAGCAGGCAGGCACCGACTCATGGTTACTGGTCCAAGGTCCCAGCCTCAGAAAGCCACATCACTGCATTTCCACCCTGTTGCTCTCCAGCTTCTGGTGAGACAACCCATGGCCTTTATTTGCTGCCTTACACTGCTAAATGGTGATGCTCGAAGTGTGGCTGTGCCTTGCCTAGCGTGGCTCTGTTATCCTGGTGCAGGGAGGCACTTCTGGAGCTGCGATGTCCCTGGCTGAAGGGCACTCAGACAGGATCATTGTCCCTGGTGCCAGTACTTGAAGTCACTGCTGCAGCTACCTGGGGGTTTCTGAAGGACACAGCAGGGGTGGGCTCACCACAGCTGCAGTCCAGTCCTCATCCATTGCTGCAGCCACTCAGCCAGCACACAGAGGTGTTTTCTGGGCCAAGGGAGGCTGCCATGGTTGCAGGAATCCGCTTAGAGCTTCCTCCACACCCCACCCACAGTGCTGGGATGATCTGCAGACTGCACGTGGCTCTCATGCCCCGTCATTTGGATGCTCTTCACTCTAAGTCCAGGTCCCAGCCCTGCTTCTTCCTGTCTGATTTGGGACACCTCAGTCTGTCCCAGCAGTTCCCACCTTGACCTGCCCAGCATCTGCCTTTTCTACCTGGTTCTCTGCAACTGAGTGAGGAGCTGGCCCTGTACTGGTGATGGGATAGAACGGGGGGCCTCCGAGTCTCATGGGTGTTTTTTTCTGTTGTTGTTTTTTTTCCCCCAAGGCCGATGCTGCAACCAGTTTCTTGAGAGCTGCAAGATCCGGGAACCTGGACAAAGCCTTGGATCACCTCAGGAATGGGGTAGATATTAACACCTGTAACCAGGTAGGTGAAACCCATGGGGCTTCTCATGCCATCTGTAGTTCATGTGGAAATGAGCCACCGTGTGGTGTCTGCCCCAGGCCCAGGGACAGTCACTGCTCCCCTTCCTCACACTGCTCCTCTAGGATGGAGGCAGGGAGGTTTCCCCTGGCTGCTCGCTTGCTCTGCTCTGTGCAGCTGATTGGGAGCACCGGCTCTGCTCCCACAGCCCTGCCTGCCCTGGAGCAGAGTATAAGCTGGCTGGTAATTAGTTGTCTGGCAGAGAGAGGTTAAAAACTTTGTGGGAGAGGCTGCCTGACCCCACTTCCCTCCTGTGCCTGGCTCCTGATGGAGTGTCTGGGGAGTGACACAAAAGAGGTGCGGTGTGAGATGGAGTTGCTGTGTGGAGGTGATTTCCTGGGGATGCTCCGCTCTGCAGAGGCATTGTGCAGTTGCCAAGTACGTGTCTCCAGAGCTGTGACATGCTCAAGTGAGGCACAGGTGCCCACCAGTGTGGCAGAGCATGGAGCCATGTCTGCCAGCGTGGTGGTGGGATCCCAGGAGTGTGCACTGGTGTCCTGGCAGGTGCCATCGTCCTCCCGTCTGCACCACCCTCTGTGAGGCTCCAGGCAACCTGTCCCTGCCTGTGCCAGGCAACCTCTACGGGAGCTCCTAACCAGAACTGAGCACAGGGTAGAGGCCACACAGGGCAGACTGCACCATGGCAGTGGTCCCGTGCTGGGGGAGACTTCCACGGAAACGAGTCCTGTGCTGGGGACGGAAGTGGCTGACCAGAAGGCAGATTTGGACCAATTGTCTTTGGGAAGGGAGGGCAGCAATGGCTATAAAGAACTGGGCAGCCTGGCAGTACTAGCTGGAGCGTAGCAAAGGGCATTAAGAGGTAAGCAGAGAGGGAAATCTGAGGCCCCTTCAGGATGACAGGCAACTGGGGCAGCTGGGAGGGGCTCAACTGCTCCTCAAAGGGCAGAGCAGATAGCTGTGAGGAGTGTAGCACAGTGGCTGAGATATTGCAGGAATCACTCTAGGGTATATTCCCCTTGCCTGCAGTGCTCGGGCTTTCAGATTCCTGGAATCTGCAGCTTTGCACAAGCACGGGATGTTTGCAAAGTGCAAGTGTTGGTGGCTTGGGAGGTGCTGGGCAGGTGAAGACCCTTTTAGCCCCGAGAGGTCTGTCCAGGAAAGGAGAGCTGCAGGCAGAGAGGAATTGTCTGCCCGTAATCAACAGAACATTTTGTATCTGTGTAGCTGCCAAATCCAAGTGTCTCAGCCTGAACTGGGGCAGGTGCTGTAGGGAGAGACCCAGGGGGCTTGGGCTGAGCAGGGGAGACAGACAGGCTGCGCTGTTGGCTGCTTTCCGGAGCGGCAGTGATGCTGAGGAGGCTGACTCGGCAGGTAGCACAAATGAATATTCACCTGGTTCAGTATCAAGTCCCCAAACGAAGTGTAGTTCAGACCTACTGATTTGTGCACTGCAGTGGCCAGTGCAGTTACTGCAGACAGGTTCCCCCAGGAGATACCACGTGTTGTCCTTTTATTTTGTGACTAACGGTACTGTGCAGGGATGCTGGGCTTCTGCAGACCCCTGGGGCACCCTGCAGCTTGCATTCTCCTCTCTGGGACACAAGGGGAAGTTTGGGGAAAGCTCAGGAGATGCTCATTTAGTTAATCACTGGATTATTAGTTCATAGTCAGCATTCAGATACTCGCAAAGACTTCTGTCCTGGGGCTGTGTGGGGACATACGGGATTTAGATCAGAGGAGTCTTGTTGGAAATAGAGACAAAAAAATTTCAAGTCCAGAGTCCTTTGAAGATGAGCTTTTCCGTTGGTGAGTTGGAGGCTCTGACCCCGTAATAATTTTGGAGATGTACAGGGTTTGAAGAGAGGGGAGGCCATGTGACACGCTCTTAGCACTGGGCTACAGGACATGGCTTGCACTTCATGCTGAGCAGATCAGTGCTTGCACCTAAAAGGATCTTCGGAGTTGCTGTGCTTCATTTCAGAACTTGGCCCGGTCATTAAAGCCAACTGCAGCTCCCTCAGTCTCTCTTGGGGGAACAGAAGCCCCTGTAAGTGAGCCGGAGCAGCAGGCCAGTTGCTGGGAGCAGTCACACCTCCTTCCAAATGTTTAGCTACAAATAAGCTGAGATAAATAAGTATTTAATGCACCCACTGCTCCCTTACAGAGCTTTGGGGAAGCAAGTCACAAAGAACAGGGAGATCCTAGCGCCTGTGCCTCTCCCCTCCAGGAAGGATGGGGGATGCTGCCATGTGTGCAGAGCCTGGCAGGGAAAATCATCTTCTTGGCTCGTTCACAAGTGACTGAGAATTCCCTCCTGCTCACTTCTGTGGGTGTCTGGAGGAGAGGGGCTGTTTGGCCACATTGGCCCATGCCTTCTGAGATGAGAGACTCCACAAACAGAGTGTGCCATGGATGTTCACTCATTTCTGAAGATAAGCTTAAAAGCAAAGGGATAATTTCTGTGTCCACTGCTCCTGTACTGCCCTAGTGCAGAGAATTATGTGGTTCTGGAGAGGGTTCTGCAAAGAATTACAACAAGGAGACCCAGCCACAGGCTAAAGAACTTCTTCCTCATCCAGAGAAGCAGTCAGTCATCAGCTGTCTCCTCTGACTGGCTGCAATTCCTGTTTTCAGCCAGTTTTCTGGTGCTGGTGAGGGGATTTAACACCTTGATGGGGAGCACATGGCTACAACAGTACAAGGTGCTTCTTTCAATGACGTCTTTGCACTGGTTCCTGTCGTCTCCCTGAGGTTAGATGGCACTTTGAGGTTTCCTTCTGAGGAATATCAGACCTGTGGGAAAGGTCCAACCTCACATGTCCTGTATAAAATAAAGAGGGATATATGTGGTCAGACCTATCCCACAGGCCCTGTATTCTTTCTCAAGTGCGGAGACCTTGACATGCCATCCGATCTTCATCCTGCCAACTTCATCCCCTTCATTGCTGCCATCTGCATCAGTGTCTCCATCGTCCACCTCCCTCGTGTTTCGAATTCCTTCATGTTCCCATCGCACTCATGAGGAGCTGGAGGTCTGAGAATGAGCTGCCAAGATCCCAAGAAGCACGGAACAGCGCTGTGCCGGCACACGGGTCCCAGGAGATAGTCTCTGTTGGGGCGGGCAGTCGCAGTCCTGACGGGCAGTCCAGGTCAGGGCCCTGCTTTGGCACAGGCTGAGTGCAAGGTCCCACCTTCTGTGTTTTTCTGGAGGGCTGCGTTTGTCGCATTGACAGCCAGCAACTGGGATTTCTGGGAAGTGATTGCGGCACTTAGTGAGGGGAATACAGCACCTTTCAAATTAAGCACATCCTGTGGCGGTTTTGGGTCAGATGAGCTGTCAAGCCAAAGCAAATGTGCAAAACAGCCTGTATTGTTCCTGGAGCAGAAATATCGATGGGCCGCTGGGAAACGATCTTCTGCAAACATTGCGCTTGTTGCTGTAAGGACAGAGAGTAATGATTCCTCACGGGTTTTCAGCATTCAGAAGGTTATTTATGAATCCCTTGCGTAAAAGGGACATATGGGCTGAGGAGAGCAACTGAGCATCTGTGGTCCTGTACTCCAGGAGTTTGTTGCGTGAGTGTAACTGAGAAAAAGCATGCGTATCTGTGACCATATACCCAACTTGTGAGCTCCCGAAGGTAAGGGTGCCAGTGACCATCTGAATGGAGTTGTGCAGGTGTGTCTTAGAGAAGATGGGCTTGACCAAGGCGGTGGGCTCGGTGCAGACAGGCTTGGTTGGGGAGCATTTCCTTTTGGTGACTCTGTTCTGTGGGTGCTGCAGCGTTCCCACTTCATTCTTACTTGGAAACAGGCCTTTTGTGCTTGAGGCTCTAGGGCACTCTGGAATACATGTGCTGAGGAAGCCTGTGGATTTTTAGCTTTTTGCTCTTTGTGCTGTATTCAGACTTGAGCGAAAGAATCTGTGCCTCTTTGACTGTGATCCTGGATAGCTGATGCTTTGAGCAAGAAAGGGTGAAAAACCTTTTTCAAGTACAATAACACTCTTGAAGTTGTTCTAAGTTTAACCAGAGTGTTGAGAGATGGAACTGGAGCCTCCCCAGCCATGTTCTGCTCCTTTGCCTATATTCAGGTGGGGATGAAGCAATTCTGTGAAGTGACCTTCCTGTAATCTCCAGGAGCTGAAACAGATGGTTGGGGGTGGAGTACCTGGGCAGGGCCCTGTGCTCCTGGGGAGCTGGCATCTCTCTGCCACGTGACAGAATTGCGTAGGGGTGGGTAAACATAGTGCATCCACCTGGGAGAAGTGGGGAACAGGAGAAGTTAGCCCTATGGGGGAAAAGTGACATCTGCAAGTATTTAACCTCTTTGCCAGCGAATGTCCCAGCCTTTGTGTTCACATCTGGGAAGTGGAAGAGGCTGTCTGAATGGAGCAGAAGCTATCTTAGTGGCCTCTGGGGTGGGCAGTGGCCTGAGACCTCCTTCTGACAATCTGGGGAAGCTGGAGGGGCACCAGCCAGCCCTTTGCTCCTAGTGCTCAGGTTTGATGTGTAGGAAAAAGGTGAGCTGAACTGGGGCACTTGTAGAGATGTTCCCGAGAAGTCACTTCAGTTGTTTGGGAGCTTCCTGGAACTGGTAGAGCTTGGCAGTGGCACAGCCAATGCTTTCTCTGCACCCTTTGCTGCAGCTGAGCTCTGAGGGAGCAAAGCTGACCCTCTGCTGAACACGGGCTTCAGGGCGGGCATGTCGGTGAGCAGTCTGCAAAGCCAGGAAGATGACAGCTGTTGGACTGGAGGCTCGTGAACTGTTGGGAATTAAATTTGGGTGCTGCTTGCTAAAATCATTGTTCTAGGCAGAGCTTCTCACTGCACTTCTGTCTGTGTAAATGTTAAGGTTTGTATGTGCACTTACGCAGCAGCACTGGTGCATCCTCGCTCTGGGCTGTACACAAAGCTCAGCTTTGTGCTTTAGGCTTGAAAAGCCTGACTGCAGGAGGGCGGTTGTGGGGAGGGGCACTCCAGGGAAAGTCACTTGAGCAAAGACAGGAGTTGCCATCAGGGATGTGTCATGAGCAGAGAGGACTGAAACAGTGCCTGTGGCTGAACTGTGGTGCCACCCATCCACAGGAAATCACCTACGGGGGCTGCGCGTTTTGCTCACGGAGAGACCTCCAAGCGTCAGTCAGCAGCTCAGCATTCAGCCACGTGCAGTTGCCCTAGCATCATGGAACTAGCCATGGCCATTGTGCTGGATGCCAGCGCAGGGCTCAAGGGGAAGGACATGGCTCCGGCTCCCACCAGCCTGACCTTTCCCCAACATGGGCCCAGTGCCCACAGTCGTGTCTGCATGGGAGCAGGGAGTAGGGGGCCCCCCCACAGCCCCAGGTGACTAATGCACCTCTCCCACCTTTGCCTTCTCCAGAATGGGCTGAATGCCTTGCACCTGGCCTCCAAGGAGGGCCACGTGAAAATGGTGGTGGAGCTGCTGCACAAGGAGATAGTTTTGGAGACAACAACCAAGGTAAGAACACAGGAGTCTGGTCACGTCAGTCCCAACGCCACATCCTGCCGTTCCTGCCAGACAGACCAGCAGTAGCTGAGCAGTGAATCACGCTGTTTGCTTTCAGCCCCTGGAAGGGCTGTGCTGGAAGCTGTGCTGCCGGGCTGGGGCCTGAGGACCAGGCTCTGACTGCAGCGCAGTGCAGTCACAGCTGTTCTGGGCACCTCCGGGTGAGTGCCGGGGTCCTCTGCACCCATGTCTCTCCTCCATGGGGGTCACTGTGAGCTCCAGAGCTGCGTAACAGAAGCCACAAGATGTGCTAGGGCTGTCTTTACTCACATCCCCTCCTGGCACTGGCTGACAGCTCAGAGCAGCCCTTGCTGCCCCAGGGCAGCCCCTGCGTGTGCCACACTGAGGTGGCCTTGTGCCATTGTCGCAAGCCCGGAGAGCTCTCGTGCTCCATGAATACCTCATCATTCTGTCCTCGCATCACCGTGGTGGGGTGTGGTTCTTGCTTAGCAAGGCACAAGCAAGCAGGGCTGACAAATGAGCAGCCTCTAGCACCGTCTGAAGGGCTGTGAGAGCAGAAGGAGGCCTGGCTCGCCCCTCCCCAGTGCTCTGGCAGGGTGCAGAGCGAAGTCTGGCATTCTGCCACACCACCCAAAGACACAAGTCGGAGGAGCTGGTGTCTGCATTTTCCAGCCTGCTTATCATCCCATAGCTCTGCTGGGATGCTTTGGCTACCAGGGCGCACACTGCAGTTTTTCCTGAAGACTGCCAGCTCAGCTCCCCCATCCTCCCTCCCCACCTCATCTCTCGGTGCTGGAGATACACAGAGCCTGACAATGCACACAGCTTTTGCTGCCAGTAACTTCATGGGAAGGATGAAATCACTCTCTTCCCTGGCCAGCAAATGTGAAGGGTGGCTGCCTGCTCTGTAGCAGGGACAGGTCATGGACCAAGGGCTGCATGGCCCCACAGGCTTCCCCTTGCCAGCTGCTCTGTTTGCACGCGTGTTAGCATGTGTCAGGCCCATCTTTTCCCGGCATCCTGGGCTGCTTCAGCCCCTGAGTGCTGCCCTGTGGTGTCTTTCAGAAGGGAAACACAGCCCTGCACATTGCTGCCCTGGCTGGACAACAGGATGTGGTCCGGGAACTGGTGAACTACGGGGCCAACGTCAATGCACAGTCACAGGTAGGATGGCCTGGGCTGGGGTGGGAAAGGCACCCAGCACGTGTTTTGCTGGTGTCCCAACTGTGGGAACTGTGCCCAGCATGGGTGCTTCAGTAGTCCTTTACAGTTTCTTTCTAATCCTGTTCAGGGGCAGGGACTGCTCTGACAGGTGCCTAAAAAAAAGACAAGTGTGCGAGTCCTGGGAAGGGAGTCTTGAGGGGTATGGGAAAAGCAGCATGTTTCTCTGTACAGGGAGTCCGTGGCAGCACATGCAAGCACACAGAACCATCCTGGGAGGACTCATGGTTGGTGCCTCTCTGGCACGACTGTCGGGTCTCCAGCAACCCCTGCAGCTCTGCACTCTGTACCTCCTTCATTCTCTCTTTCTTGTGCCTGGTGGGGCTGCAGGCTCTTCAACTTCTGCCTGAGGGGGAACATCCCTGAAGCAAGGGAGAATAGTGGCAGTGAGTGGAAGGCAGAGTGTCTTCTGGGATGACTGTTGTTGTGAAGCATCCCCTGGTTCTTTCTGGATGTTGGGAGCCTTGGGCTCCAACTCTGTGTGAATGCTCCACCGCTGCCAGTTTTCTTCCTTTTTCCCACCCTCGCTGTGTATGCTTTTGTACCAGTTTAGAGGGCTGGCAGGGTGTGGGTGTTGATGGGGTGTAGGTCTGCAAGGAGCTTGAGAAATTCAATGAAGAGTTGTGTCGATGTGCATGTCCCCGTGTTTGCAGAAAGGCTTCACGCCCCTCTACATGGCAGCGCAGGAAAACCACCTGGAAGTTGTCAAGTTCTTGCTGGAAAATGGAGCGAACCAGAACGTAGCCACAGAGGTGAGATCCTTGGGGAGGACCCTTGGGCCCTGTTGTTAGGGCCTCTTCTGGACGTGCCACGTGCTGTGTCTCCTTGGTTCTCCCTGTCTTACCTGCCTCTCCTTGCCAGGATGGCTTCACACCACTAGCTGTGGCTCTGCAGCAAGGGCATGAGAATGTGGTTGCTCACCTTATCAACTATGGGACAAAGGGTAAGGTTCGCTTGCCTGCCCTGCACATTGCAGCCCGCAATGATGACACTCGCACAGCTGCTGTGCTGCTACAGAATGACCCCAATGCTGATGTCCTCTCCAAGGTACGTGGCTTTCCCATCCTGTCTCTGGGAGCTTTCCCACATGCCCAGCTTGGTATGCTGCATATATCCATCCTTTCAGCAGGGAGCATGTATCTGGCTGGACTGATCCCTCCTTCTTTCCCCTAGACTGGATTTACCCCCTTGCACATTGCAGCCCACTATGAGAATCTCAGTGTGGCCCAGTTACTGCTGAAAAAAAATGTCAACTTCACACCCCAGGTGAGTGTAAAGTGGGAAGGCTGCTGGGGCTGGTACTGCTCCAGCACCAGAGTAGGGTGCTGTGCCTCCTTTCCATGTAGGTGCAGCAGCTCCCAGGGTATGCTGGTGAGGTGGGACTGTGCAGAAGGTAGCACGCTGGTGCATGTCTGTGGAGCTGCCGTTAATAACCAGCGTGGGCCTTTCCTACTGTGTCTCCCTTCTGTTGGATGCAGCCATGCATCTCTTGAAAGTTTTTGGGACCTCGTGTCCAGGCTGGGGGAAAGCTGGTGCTGTCGCTGCAGGGCAGAGCTTATAGCACCTGCAGTTGACATGCCTCTTCCTGTCCCACGGGTGCAGCCAAATCCATGAGCTGGTACTTTCCTGCAAGCTCTGTGCAGCTTCTGTCCACAGCCTTTAGCTGCAGGCAGGAGCAGGTGCTCACCCTCTCTCCCACCCCTGTAAAACAAGCTGTTCCCCTGCACCCTCCCTGGGCAGGGATTTACTCTCTCCTGCCGTCTGTCCTTTGTTGGCTCCATGCCTCCTTGCAGCCCCGCAGAGGAAAGAGAAGGGGCTGCTCCATCTAACGGACTGCCATTCCTTCTGTCAGAATGGGATCACTCCCCTGCACATAGCCTCCCGTCGGGGCAATATCATCATGGTGCGGCTGCTGCTGGACCGCGGGGCCCAGATAGAAACAAGGACCAAGGTGAGAGCACGTCTGAAATGCTAGCCCACAGTTCACGGACCACTCCCCGCCCCAAGCTCCCACTGCTGTGGTGCTATGCCCAGTGCGTACCTTGTGAACGTCCTACTGGGTGCGTGAGGGAAGGTCCCTAGTCCATGAAAGGGATGGACCGGCTTTTAAGCTGGTTCAGCTGGTTCATGGCGTAAGTGGCAGGAGGCTGCGTGGCTGGGTATGCCCTGAGAGCTGAGGGCAGGCTCAGTTTTGCCTTCCTTCACAAACAAGTCCTAAGTCGCTGTTACTCTTCTACCTGTGGGGAACTCTGCCCTCCCTTGCCTGTGCTGAGCCCTTGAACCCTTCTCTCTCTGCAGGATGAGCTGACCCCTCTCCACTGTGCAGCTCGCAATGGACATGTGCGAATTGCAGAGATCCTGCTGGACCACGGGGCTCCCATTCAAGCCAAAACCAAGGTACCCCTGGGTCTCTGAAGCTGTGCTCGGTGCAAGGTACCAGGGCAGCAGAGGTGGGTAGCAAGCTGTGCACAGCTGCTGGATGCCACCTATGGCTGGACTGGGGCTGAGTTTCTGGCTTCCTCACCCCCTCCTTGGCCCTAGCTGGAGCCCTTTGCCTGAGGGCTACATGCTTCAAAGGGACCAGCCTGAGAAGGGGGCAGCCTGGGGACAGCCTGCCCCATGGCAGCAGCTCTTCAGGCCCTGCCCTCTGCTCAGCACCGCTCCCCTGTAAGTTTCAGTGAGGGATTTTGGGTGTCCTCTCTGGTAGCACCCTGGGAAACGTGCTGTCTCTTCTGCCCCAGAGCTGTGGCCAGGGGAGTGAGGCAGGGGCTGGGTGGGATGCCCAGTCTCCCTCCTGGCCCAGCCCTGAGGCCCCGCTCCGCGGTCGCAGAACGGCTTGTCGCCGATCCACATGGCAGCACAGGGCGACCACCTGGACTGCGTGCGCCTGCTCCTGCAGTACAGCGCTGAGATCGACGACATCACCCTGGACCACCTAACGCCACTGCATGTGGCCGCACACTGCGGGCACCACCGCGTGGCCAGGCTGCTGGTGGAGAAGGGGGCCAAGCCCAACTCCCGAGCCCTGGTGAGTGAGGAGGAACAGATGGGTCTGGGGTGGGGGAGAGGAAGAATGTTCCTGCAAACGACTGTCCATCTGCAGAATGGCTTCACACCCCTCCATATTGCCTGCAAGAAGAACCACATCCGAGTGATGGAGCTGCTGCTGAAGACAGGTGCCTCCATCGATGCTGTCACAGAGGTAGGTGTGCTGCAGCTCACTTGCTGCTGCCTGTGCAGAGCAGGCAGTGCTGCAGGAGATGATGGAGTTGCTTCTGCTGGTCCTCAGGCATCTTCTTCATTGCGGCTTAGAGCTCTTTGCAGCTCAGGACCTGTTGAGCCTGGCAGCATCTCCCCGCAGCCTGCTCCCCACCTGGCAGGGGGGCTGCAGGGGAGGCAGCAGCTCTCTGTGTTCCCTTCGGTTCACCTACGGGCTGCTCTGGGGCTGAGGCCCCAGAGTTTGCCTCTGTGCTGGACTGTGATCCAGGGAGGGGGAGGAGGGGGCAGGAAGTAGTGTTGTCAAAGCCTTCAGCCCTCATCTTGGCTTCTGGTCCCTTTCTCTCCACAGTCTGGCTTGACCCCCCTGCATGTGGCCGCCTTCATGGGGCACTTGCCCATTGTCAAGACCCTGCTACAGCGCGGAGCATCTCCTAACGTGTCCAATGTGGTGAGTCCCACCCTGGCTGAGGCTGTGGGGACTCAGGATGGTGGGATGCGGCAGGAGCTGGGGATTGCCTGAGTCTAGCTCTCTGCTCTTCTGGACAATCCCTGGTACCCCCAACCTTCTGCTGGCGTGAGGAACTGGGAGGGGCTAAAGAAGGTTGTGGGCACTGCTCTCCTGTGCTCAGACTAGAGGAGTGACTGCGAGAAGGCATATCCCCTCCTATGGCCTCACCCCTTTATCTTGTCCTTGCTGCAGAAAGTGGAGACACCCCTACACATGGCAGCCAGAGCTGGGCACGTGGATGTGGCAAAGTACCTGCTGCAGAACAAAGCCAAAGCCAATGCCAAGGCCAAGGTAGGTACAGAGAACTTGTGTGATAGTCCAGCTCGGGGAACAGCTGATGCTGGTTTCTTTGCTCTTGCCTGCCCAGAGCCTGGCCTGCCAGGGGCTGTGCAACAGCAGCAGCAGGGCTGGAGCCCCTTTGGTGTGGCAAGAGACTGGTCCAGATCTGGCAAAAAAACCCTCCTCTGCCTCCCTTGCAGGATGACCAGACTCCTCTGCACTGTGCTGCACGCATCGGCCACACTGGCATGGTCAGACTGCTGCTGGAGAACAACGCCAACCCCAACCTGGCCACAACCGCAGGTCACACGCCCCTGCACATCACTGCCAGGGAGGGGCATGTGGACACAGCCCAGGCACTGCTTGAGAAGGCAGCCTCCCAGACCTGCATGACCAAGGTAGGCTGCTGCTGCTGCTGAAGGTGTGACCTGGCTGGGCTGGGGCTGGGCAGATTGGTGGCACCGTATCCCTGTCACAGGAGGGGCAGCCTCCTCCTGTGCCAAAGAATGTGCCAATGCTCTCCTCCTCATCCTGGTACACCCTGTGATTGCCTGCCTTTCTCCTCAGAAAGGATTTACCCCTCTCCACATTGCAGCCAAGTATGGGAAAGTGGATGTCGCAGAGCTGCTGCTGGCACGTGATGCTCATCCCAATGCAGCAGGGAAGGTGAGTGCTGCTCCTTTGGCAGTGGGAGGAGTGGTGTGGTATGGGAAGAGGCTCTGTGTCACCTGTCTGTGCCTTCTTCCCCCCACCAGAACGGCCTGACCCCGCTGCACGTGGCTGTGCACCACAACAACCTGGAGATTGTCAAGCTGCTGCTTCCCAAGGGGAGCTCCCCACACAGCTCGGCTTGGGTAAGGCTGGACTGGGTGTCCCTGGAGATGTGAGGATGTGTCGTTTGTCCAGTGCCTGCCAGCCCGGGGACAGCATTGCCCCTCAACCCTGACACTCAGGGACTGTACAAGTGACTGATCACCGACAGCCACTCTCCACGCCTGCTGCTCATGCCTCTCCTGCCTGCCTGTCTCTTGCACCAGCACATGGGGCAGGCAGGGGTGCTGGGCAGTCCTCCCATTCCAGCAGGCAGGCTATGTCAGGGGTAGTCCCTGCTGGCAGCATCGTGGCTGTTGTTTGGGGATGCGTTTCCATGGCAAGCCCTTTGGAGCAGCGCTGAGGTCTAGCAGTTTGGGAAACCACACATGAATATTTGCATGCAGCTATGAAGCAGGGAATCAGAAAACCCACCAGCTCATGATAGTTGCCCTGCTCTGCCTGAGCAGACCAGCATCCTCAGTTTCCACATTGTTTGCAGAAGCTGCATCCTCAGAACAGACAAGTGGCTGCTGGTGCCATCCCTCCCCATCTGGCATTCCTCCCTCCCCTGCGCAGGCTACCGGCAAACTTGCTGGGCAGGCGTCGGGAGCAGCCGGTACCAGCGCCAGTCTCCCGTTGCTCTGCGTCACTGACAGGCTGTGCGTCACCCTGGGCAGAGGGTGTCTGCCAGCTGCTCTGCTCCTGCAACGTAGCAGCAAAGGCAGTGCTCAAAGCCCTGCAATCTCTGCCTGAATACTAATTCTGCGTATTGCGAGCTTTGCTCCACACCTCTGTGAGACGCATTCTGGGAGATGTCTGTCTGCCCTGGCCTCTCACAGCTCCAGGTGGCTGCAGATTGCCACAGAAATTCATGTGTGGAAAAATGTAGGACAGGTGATATTGGTGGAACCTGAAGCAGGTGGTCTTTGAGACCCCTAGGCTGACTTGGCCGGAAGAGTGGGATTTGGCTGCAGTGTCAGGGCTAGCTGATGTCAGGGAGATGGTTTGGGTGTGAGCCTGCGTCACTGAGCTCTGGAGGTGACTGGGAAGGGCAGGTCTGCCTGGAAAGGCAAGGTGGCACCTCCTGTCCCTGCCAGGCTGTTCGGCAGGGGCTGAGCACTGCCATGAGTCTCTCTCCCTGCAGAACGGGTACACCCCCCTGCACATTGCTGCCAAGCAGAACCAGATGGAGGTGGCCGGCAGCTTGCTGCAGTACGGGGCTTCTGCAAATGCGGAGTCTGTGCAAGGAGTCACCCCCCTGCACCTGGCTTCCCAGGAGGGGCATGCGGACATGGTGGCACTGCTTTTCTCCAAACAAGCCAACGGTGACCTAGGCAACAAGGTAAGTTGCCCCAGTGCATCCTGCCAGGCTGGAGGCGAACACCATGGCAGGGAGCAGCAGGCAGGCTGGTAGTTCAGGCCCCGATGCCTCCCTGCATTTGGGCAGCAGTGCATGAGCCAACAACACAGGTTGGAGACCTGGAGACTTAGAGTCTCCTCTGGTAGAGCTGCAATGAGGGCATTGGCACTGTGCTGAGACCTCCTCTATTTGCAGAGTGGCCTGACTCCTCTCCATCTCGTGGCCCAGGAGGGGCATGTGCTGGTTGCTGATGTTCTGGTGAAACACGGTGTCACAGTGGACGCAACGACCAGGGTAAAGTAGTGCGTTGACCATGGCTGTGGTGAAAAGCTTGTGGGGACTCTACCTCTAGGCTTGCTCCAGGAGGGGCATTGCTTTTCCTTTTCTTTATTCAAGAGTCTTCCCTCTCACAGGCACCCTTACCATCTTGTCTGTGTCTTGGGGACTCTTCCTTATCTTCCCTCCACCTCCCTGGAGGGACTCTTGCCTGCTCCCACAGCTTGCCCCTGTACCCCTGGGCACAACGTGGTTTGCCGTGTGCTCTCTGCCCTAGTCCTGAGATCCCAGGCAGCACCCGCGCACATGCCCCATCCTTCATCCATGGGGGATTGCCCATGGGGTGAGCATACTCAGGCCAGAAGGGAAGCACAGTTGAAGGCAGCCTGAGACCTGATCTCGTCTTTCAGATGGGCTATACCCCTCTCCATGTGGCCAGCCACTATGGGAACATCAAGCTGGTGAAGTTTTTGCTGCAGCACCAGGCTGACGTTAATGCCAAGACTAAGGTACGGAGGTGTCCTGTGCTCCAGGGACCCTTCTGCCCTGGGCAACAGCATGCAGGTTGACGGCGAAGGCTTAGCCTCCCTCCCTACTTCCACTTCTCCCTCTCACATTGCTCCAAGCCCACCTGTCTCCATGGCTGGAAGCTGCTGTGGCCTAGCTACAGCCCTGGGCAAGTGTTGGGTTCTGCAGAGCCCATTGCTTACCCCAGAAAGGAGGGAGCAGCCCTCATGCTTCAGACACGAAGCACGGTGTGAGGCTCAGGGGCATTTCTGGGGCAGCAGACTCCCAGAACTGATGGCAGCACCCTCTGTCCTCCCCTGCAGCTGGGCTACACCCCTCTGCACCAAGCAGCACAGCAGGGCCACACAGATGTTGTGACGCTGCTGTTGAAGCACGGTGCCTCTCCCAACGAGATCAGCACAGTGAGTACAGCTCACCCACGCCTCCTCGCCCCAGCTCCCTGTGGCTGCTGCTGACACGGTCCTTCCTCCTTGCACAGAATGGCACCACTCCCCTGGCCATCGCGAAGCGGCTTGGCTACATTTCCGTCACAGATGTGCTCAAGATCGTCACAGAGGAAACCGACATCCCGGTGAGCCCATGGGGACTGAGACCAGGACCCTGTGGTGGAGGGCTGGGGCTGGGAGCAGCCAGGCAGTGCTGACAGCCGGTTGCCTAGCCTAGGCATGAGGAGGTGGCTGCGCAGCAGAGGGCTGGTCTCTTCTGACTCTGCTCTGCTCCCGCAGTCAGTCGGTGACAAGCACCGCATGAGCTTCCCAGAGACCGTAGACGAGATTCTGGATGTGTCAGAGGATGAAGGTGAGGGGCTGAAGCTGGGTCGCACATCGCAGAGACCTGCTGTCTGGGTCCGAGTGGCAGGCAGCAGCCCCGGGTCTGGGCACTGGCGTTCCTGCTGGCTGAGGGGTGGGGGTTACGTGGCCCCACAGTGGTCTTGCAGAGAGGACAAGGGCAGCCCACCAGACTCCGAGGGTGGCACCTCCTGGCTCGGGTGCTTCCCAGCTCTATGCAAGAGGGATATGCCTGGACCTCGCCATGGTCCCATGCCCCAGGGACAGTGTGTGGAGAGCCCTTGGGCATGCAGAGTCCTCAGTGTGCCCTGCTCCATAGGGTGGTACCAGCTCCCAGCCCGGCTGCAGTTGGTCCACTCCTGTTCGCTCCCACCAAGACCTCACTTTTGCCTCTTCTTACTTTGCAGGCACTGCTCATGTCACAGTAATGGGTATGAATTGTGTCCCCCCAGCTCAATGGCCCATTTCACCCCCTGGCCACTAACCATCCGCACGCCACATCCGTCTGCTGAGTCTTGCTGCTGGGCTGGTGCTGTCCGGCGCAGGCCCTGCCATCCTGCCCTGCCCATCTGTGTCCGTGCTGCTTGCTGTGGTGTGATTGCATGAATGGGGCATCCCCCCGCCATGGCGGGGGAGCACGGGCCACGTTGTG